CCCATATACAGTACTCTAACTATAATTAATTAGTGGGCTATAACTGAATAAAGCAAGAAAATAAATTTTGTTTTTTAAAAATGATTGATTGATTGGTTGATTTGGTACAGGGTCTTGCTACACTGCTTGGACTCATAGTGATCCTCCTGTCTCAGCCTCCCCAGCACTGGGATTACAGGAGTGTACCGCCACAGTGTGCCCAGGGGCATGGCATACAGTACTGGGGATAGAACCTGGGTCCTTGCCGGGCAGACACTTAGACTGCCAAGCTATCTCCCCATTTCCAAGAAAATAAATTTTGGACTCTACACAGTAAGTATATTGTTGCTAGTGATACTGGTCTGATAATCTTGAAACTATTCGTTGTTAGATAGATCAAGTCAAATAAATACATAGTGGCTCTTGGGGACCATGATTTTCATTAGAGGTAAAAGGAAAAACAAACGTATACAAGTTGAACTGAAAACTAATTCTGTGAATTTGCATTCAGTACGAAGTGTTCAGTAAGATCCTGATTTGCACACACGTGCACACACAAAAACACACATGCATTTTCAGCTCCTGTTCACAGCTGAGCCCATGCCTGAGATCCATTTATAGGACAAAATAGCTGACACAGACCACTCACAGGAGGAGGGGTGCAGTCTGGCTCAGGGTTCAGAGGTTTCAAGCCACAGTTGGCTGGCTCCAAGGTAAAAATATCATGATGCAGCGACAGTTAGGGGGATACAAGCAGAGATAGGCAAGACCTGGGGGCCCGATGATTACAAGTTACCGCATGCTGATGGTGGACTATTGATGAAGCAGTTGTCCTTGGGAAACTATAACACACACTTCCTGTAAACTCCTCGCCCCTGGTATTTCCTCAATCTAGAAACAAAGGTGGACGGCCTGATTGGCCTGGCCACGCCAGCCAGTGAAACAGTTCTTTTCAGAAAGCGGCGTATCCTTATGAGTGCTGTGATCCACTGACCTCTGGGAGTCCCCCTACCTCGGTGCAAGGTAGTGTTCCCCGCAGGCGCAGCGTGAATAAACCTTTGCGTTGCACTCCCAGTCTGACTTCCTCTTTGTCCACAGGACCTGGCTTCCCCATTTCCCACCACAGGCTTTCGGCTTTGAGCCAGCCTTGCCCCAGTTCTCCATTCTTTGCCAAAGTGAGGGCACAAGCTGGGGTGGGGGGACAGAGAGACAAAGAGAGAGACAGAGATTGAGAGTGGTCTTGTGGGAGACCAGTAGGCCCCGTTGGTGCTACTGTAAGGGTCGAGTCGCTGCGAAGGAAGACCCCAAAAGTCCGTCTCTCATGCAAATCGCAAAGGGAAAGCTTTATTATCTACGTATACGTAGGGCGGTCTGGACATGCAGTAACAGAGCGCCTTCCATGTAGCAGGCATAGTTTTTAAAGGCAAATAATCATAAAATGGGGAGGGAGAAGCAAATTACAGAAGCAAATCGCATTGGTTAGTGTGGGTTGTCCTTTACAATAATTGATGGATTACAATACCGGATGACCAAATAGAGTAAGTCTGGGGATAGCTGGGGGGTCTAACCTTGGTATGTTCCGAGGACATCTTTAAGAAATCCGGGCAATTTGACCTGGGACATCTTGTTGTTATGGCCTTCAACGGTGAGGCCTTGGGTTAGGGAATGTATGTCTCTTGCAAGAATTTTAACAAGGGGAGGTCCAAGGACAACTTTTTGGCTAACTCAGTAGTTCCAGCTGTTTTCCAAGTAACGGGACCCCATCCAAGGTTTTCTTATGTCCTCTTTATCCTAAAGACATGGTTTGTCTAAGCTCTATAGCCACAGACTAGCGGGTGGGCCCCCTTACTGAAAGACATTTTCATAATTTTTAACCTCATTTATGATCTTAAAATTGTTGGGCTTTACACTACAAGAGCAGGGCACAGCGAGGAAATGTGCTCGCCTCATGGTGCTGGGAAGCATAGACAGAGGGAAAAGCCAGACAGTGACAGAGCAGATGGCACAGGTCAGGGGTGAAGGGGATCAATATGGTGGCTAAGCTTAATGGTGTCGACTCGATTGGCTTGGGAGCCACCGAGGGAATTAGTGAAGCTTATTTCTGGGTGTGTCAAGGTGAGCTGGGAGGCAGGGCCTTGGTACTGTTTTGATTTAGATCTAAAATATCCTCAAAGCCTCATGTGTTTGAAAGGTGATGGGATGGTCGGCTGCTGGGAGGGAGGTGTTATCAGAAGAGGTGGAGCCCGGCCGACCCGGAGGGCATAGCCCCGCCTGGCTCATCCCTCTGCTTCCCAGTGGCTGCAGTGGAAGCACAGCTTCCTGTGCCTCACTCCTCCATCAGGCCTACCCGCCTTGGAGTTGGCAGACTGCGGACTGCCAGTGTGACCCTCCCCTGCTGCGAGGTGAAGGCATTGGGCATCATGTACCAGCAGTAAGAAAGTGACTAAGCCAGGCAGGATGTCTTGTTCCTTGCCACTTCTTCTCTGCACTGTTCCTGTCACCATGAACCACAAAACCAGACATTGTCATTTTTCTGCCTTAGCAACTGACAATCAATTCAGTCCCCTACATTGTGTGTCAGATTAAACATCTCCCGTCCTTTACCTGTGGTGTTAGGTAGTATATCTCAGAAATAGGAAAGTTGACCAGTGCCAATGAAAGCCAACTAGAGAAAGGGACCAGGGACAAGAATGTACCCTTCCAGGTTGTCTCCACCTCCAGCTTACTTCCTCCATCTAGGCCCATCTCCTAGGAGCACACTTGGCTATAAACTCACTGTGGAGAATCCAGTCATGATGCTAGCATCCTCGTAATCTAGTCATCATACAAAAGCCCCACCTCTGAACACAGGAGCCTTTGGGGAAAACTTTTTGATCCAAACTCTAACATCAGAGTTTCTGTATTCTTCCCTAAAAGAATGATGCATTCCAAGTATTGAAAAGAGAAGTGTGGGACTCTTACCAGCTACTTGGGTTCAGATATATCAGTTATTTTGTTCGTTACTGACCAAATCAAAGAGGCTATTTATCTGGGAAAAAAGAAAAAGGATTTATTCAAAGCCAGCTCTGAGGAGACGGAAGGGTCCTCTTGCCTCAAATCATCATCACTGTATGTACAGGTGGCTGAGGGTCTTTCACAGTGAGAAACAGTAGCAGGGCACAGGTACTGCTGCCCTCCACACCAGCTGTACCACTTCCCTTCAGCTCTTCGTCCTTTTTCTTGTGCAAAAGAAACTGGGCTCCAGCCTCCTGGGGCAGCATCTTCACCATCAGTCGCTGCCTTAAGGCAAGGGGAGGAGGGGGTGTTGCTGTGTGCGGGGGAAGAAGTTTGGAGAAATTTTTGTCTTCAGAGTCAAAATTAAAATTCCATTTTGCACTAAAAGAGCCGGCAGTATCTTGTAGGGTAATATTAATAAGCTTCTCTTCTGGAGGGTTAACAACCTAAGTTCATAGACCAAAAGTTAGAGAAAAAGAAGGGCTGCAAGGACAGCCAACATTTTGGCCCTAGCCTTCCAAGGTCAGTGAGGACTCAGGACATAGGAGAACCTGTACTGTAACATCATGTAACTCAGTTGTGTCCCAAATTTTCTGATCTAGGAGAGTATGGGGGCCACAGAGGAATGTGATTGATGATGTAGAGTGTGCCTAAGGAGAGTTACATGGAGAGAAAACTCTCTCAGGCTTTCACAGAGAGCAAATTGGTCAAGCTATGGCTGTGACTCATCCACATGGCTGACACTGACAAAGGATCTACATACTGCTGTACAGGGTTTCAGGATAAGTCCGGAGGGGATTTGAATGACCTTGTCAGATGCAAAAGTTACATTACTTGGTATATAGGTCTTACTTTGTCTTAGTCTTGACCATCCAGCAGAGTAGTATGGGAACAGAGTATAGAGGGTAAAGCCATGTTAACATGCTGAGCTGTAAAAGGCTCAAGTCAACAACTTCTTCTTCTTTTTTTGTTTTTTGTTTGTTTGTTTTTTTGTTTGTTTGTTTTTGGCAGAACGGGGGATTGAGTCCAGCCCTGGTGCTTGCCAGGCAAGTGTTTACTCCACTGAGCCATCCCCCCGGCCAAGGCAACAACTTCTGTCATTGCCAGTCTTATGGAAAACCCACTACTATTACGGACTATGCTGGAATATTTTGCTGAATTCAGGCACTTACAATATTTAAGTGACAATGGAATACATTTCTCTGACAAAACTAAACCAAAAAGGGGAAACAAATGAACGACCATTTTATATCTGTATGTTCAAAATAGATACATAGCTGCATTCTCTTGGATCACTGAATGGAGAGATTTGTTCTAACAGTGTTTGTGGACAGGATATCACATCTGCATCTTGTACAATGAATAACCACTAAGACAATAATATGCAATGTATTTATTAGTGAAAATGTGCTAGCAATCGGTTTTGAAACTGTCTCATTACTGTTTCTCAATAAAATTATAAAAAATAAATAAAAAGAGGCGGGAGTATCGTGTAGGAGAGAGCAAGGCACACAAAAACTACGATGCAGAAACCAGGTGACCTCATCTGACGTCATTTGAGCCCTCACATAATGAGGTTGACTGTAGCAATGCATTTTAAAGTAATCCACGTGTTCACCATTATAAATCGAGGGGGGCCGGGAAAAGGAAACCAGGAAATAGCAGCTAATAAATGTAGAAGAGCTGGATTTCGGTTTCCGCATCTGTTGGGTGTAGCTAACGCTCTGGGCTGTGCAGAGTCACTTC